GTAGTTGATGGTAGGGCATCGGATACGAGATTCATTTATTTTTCATAATAATTTCTTTTTGAAAATCTTTTTGATGCTACTTATTTAGATATTTCAATTTTCTAGTGTATTTTGTACTTTTTGTTATTTATGTAGAAAATAGAAATATCTAAATAATATGCCTTGATTGTTTTTATACATTCCGTTGAGAAAGTTTTTTTTTTTACGCCTGAACAAAATAACTGAGATCCAATCATCCAATTTGAATATTTTTTTCATAAAGATGCTAGAATATTCCGATACAATTTGAGAAAGTTAAAAAGGAGGAGAAAGATGGAAAAGTAATGTGATAGCATGATGGTGGAATGGTTCAACCTTCAAGCCATTAGATTTGACTAGTTGTCAAAAACTTTCAAAACTTACAGCAACTCATAAATTCAAATCCAACTATCATTGTTATACCACAATCGCTTATGTTTCGTCATTTTCAGTCTACTGCTATTGTAATTATAATAATACATTATTAAACGGTGCACATATTTTGTCCTTTACATCTTCTCCATGCTCTGTTCATTTTCAGATCAAAATTTCAAAGATGTAACATATACAGAGAACAGCTTACTTCTAACTTCTTCTAGAAGATTTTTTTTTTCATGAATTAAAATTAATTCAGAAAGTATTAGACTACATGCGCCCTCGAGTCCATGTTTTTCAAAGTAAACTAGAATGAATATTCTGCAAAAGATTTTTCAGTCAGCACATGATGGCCACATAACCAATGACATCATCAGTAATGTAAGAAAGTCTTATCTACCGTTCTCTTTTTTAAGATTAACCACCCTTCTTCTTTACTAAAAAAAAATCTACCAGTTCATACAATCAACAGCCATGCACACTGACAGTTTAAAAAGTTTGACACAAGAACACCAGCTTTATTCATATTTGTTGCTAATCTAGTTACAGTGCGTACTGTTTAGTATCAGCAAGATTCAGCAGAACAAAAGCTCTGAATTACAGAAGATTTTCAATGCAATTACCATATTTCAAATTTGTGCTTGCTAGTATTGGTGAGACAAATAAATCCTATGTTGTATCCCTTCCACTTCACATCATATTGAAGAAAATAATCTCCAATAAAAGGAAGAGGGTCATTCTATTGTATTGCTAGAAGTCGAAACCTATACTATATACAACAAAGACACTTCAAACAATTGCTCTCCTCAGCCATTATATGCACACGTATTGATAACAGCTACCATATCTACGAGAGCTCTGACCTCTCTCTCAAGAACAAGAACAGAAAATTCACTCACAACTTCCTACCTCGAAGCTGAATAATATGCACATTAAAGAAAAATAAAAAAATAATGAATAGAACTCAAATAATTCCTAACTCAGCTGCATCCCTCCCCCTGAATCAGCTGCTTGTTCTACATCTACAGAAGTAGGACTCCAAGGATTTTTTCTGTCTCTGCTCAAAAGCCTCTTCAATGATTTCAGTCTTCCCGTCATTGGCGATTTCAAGTCATCTTCAGCAAACCTGCTTGCAGAAGGAGACAAAGAAGTCGAAGTGATATCACTTGGTATGTCAATAACCAAGGTTCCGCCATGTCTATTGCTGTTGTTACTATCGTCATCATTGCAAGTAGCAGCGGAAGAGGATGAGGAGGGGCAAGGTGGCTGAGAAGCACCTTCCTCCAAAGAACCACCACCAGTTGAAGTTATTTGGTTGTGATCCCCCCAAACCAAGACGTTAGTGGGAAAAGTCGGAGACTCTAATTCTGAGTTCTGTGCACTGTTATTTTCATCGGATTGTACAGCAACAGAGTTCCTGCAAAGAGGGCAGGTAGAATGGGATTGGAACCACATGTCAATACAATCAACGTGAAATCCATGATTGCACTTAGGCAAAAGCCTGGCCTTTTCTCCTTCCACCACCTCCGAGAGGCAAACCGCACATTCCAAACCCTCCTTTAAGTCTTGGGCTTGGAATACCAACACGGGTATGGAGTTCAGAACGGAGGGATCCAGTCCCCTACGAAGACCACCCTCTTGACCGGAGGAAAACACAAAGCGGCGGCGGCGCCGTGATTGGGGAGCAGGCTCGCGCCACCAGAAGTTTCTTGTGAAGAGATGAAAGCCGAGAGCAATTACAACAAGGAAGAAGAAGATTATTATAACGATTATCATTATCTTTCCGATTAACGCAACGGCGGGGGATTCACCCAGAGTGTCAGTTTGCTCACTCATAATGCTCTCTCTTCTCTCTTCTCAAAGCACGGAAGAAAAGAAATTTGAAGGAGGGTTTGGAACGGTGAACGAGAGTGAGAAGGGTCGGAGTTAAAATAGATTCATGGGAATGAGATTGCGAAGAAATGAGGTTGGAGAGAAGAACCTCCACAATGGACTTCAAAATGAAAACAACCTTTGACGACCACGGCGTTGAATGGTCTAAGTTGAACTTGGGGTTGACCCACACATTCACATAAAAATGAAGATAATCTTAATCAGTATTGAACAAGAAGAAGATTCAAGATTAAATATTGAAGATGGTTTAGTTTGGATTGGTTTCCTTTCCCTCCACGTCTCTGCCATCTCTCTCTCTTCTTATTCGTACATCCTGTTTAAAACCGAAACATTAGCCGCAGAGTCTGTATCTGTACCACTCAACTCCAGCAACTAACCTTTTAACTTTTGACCATTCCAATGATTTAACTCAAACACGCTCCATTCACATAATTCAATTCAACCAATAATTATCATAGAAAACGAAATGTAAACTAAATACGCTCTTTTTATTATATAATAAAATTATAAAATTAAACTTCCAACTTGCTTCCCATGTGACAGCATCAGAAATTTCGAGTGAATTGCTGTTCCAGGGCAGGGCATCTCAAAATTATGTGTGACGCTGTCGCTGTTGTCAGGCCACGGCAAACAAAATAAATTTTGATTTTTGTTCTACCACACCCAATAATTAGTATAAATACTTTTTTTTTTAAATTTCTTTTAAAAACAAAACCACGATGGAGAAAATACTCCAAAGTGGAGCTGAACCTAAAATCAGTTTTCGGATGTGCTCATATTGCCTCTCTTAACCATAAAATTGACAATAATAAATCTTTTCTGTTGGAAATTAAAACGACAAGTATTTATGTAACAAAACCTTTGCATTTGTAAGTGTCTAAATGTTACATGGATATGTCATAAAGCCATTTGTTTTTATTAAGGTGAAATAGCTTGATTTAGTTTTTACTGACAGGGGAATAGGCCATTGCTGTGCATGAGTATGACATGACTGGATGGAGTAGTTTTGCAGTCATTGTGATGCCAAATTCGATGGTAAATGACTGGAGTCCTGGTTCTAAACAAGTGAAGGTAGTTGCTTGTTAGAAGATTAGAAATTGACTGAAAAAGCTTGTCCACGAAAGAAAACCGTACTTTTTCTTGCAGTTGGTGGATCCAAATCCAGCTGTTAGTGGAAATGAACAAAGACGTCTTGTTGATACGGTCGCCGACACTCTAACCATCAAGCATGCATTCCCCCAATGTGGCCATGTATTCACTGAACCTCCCACCATCACATCACTTTTCAGTATTTCTTCAATTCATTGAATCTCAATCATACAACTTCAGAGGTTAACATGTAGTTTCAAAAACAAGTATGCTCAAATGTTTCCTTTTTAATACAAATCTTTAAATAACTAAATAGTATATGTGAGGAATAAATCTAAATCACATACATATATTAGAAATTACATATAGCAGTATGGATCTGATCTGCATATATTAGAAATTACATATCATTGATGGAAAGTGTGAAATATGGTAAAAGTGGTGGACAGAGAGACAGCCTTAATGAAGCAAGGGGAAACACTCACGATTGGTAGCTGGAGGAAGCAGTATGTAAAGAAGAACAATGAATATATCAGAGAAACTGCGGAAGAAACGAAGGAGAGAGTTTCTAAAAAGTTTGGGGTGGGTGTGATGGTTGTCGTGGAGAGTGATATTGTTTCTGCAGAGAGGGCAGGTAGAATGGTTGTGGAACCATGGAGCAATACAATGAAGGTGAAAACGGTGGTGGCATCCCGGCAAGGTCCGTATCTTCCCTCCATCGGAGATTTGGCACAGACACACTGCACAACAATCTCCTTCCCTCTTCTTCCTTCCATCACCATAATTTCTGCTATTGCTTCGGATTTTCAGAACAAGTGCAAAGGCTGTAACAATGAGTATGAAGACCAGGGTGCTGATCATCTTGTCTCTTCTCTGCTCTTCTCTTCACTCTTGATCAAGCAACCTTCCTTCATTTTATTGATAGCCACTCAGACACCAGCGCCTGCAATGCATCCATGCCGGCTTTCAATAGTATGTTCCTTTGTCTTAGTGCTACTGACCGATTCTAATCAGCTTTATTGGTGTCAGAAATCAGAAAACAAAAATCAATATCTTATTCAAATTTGCTTTAATTAAAATTTTAATTTTAATTTTCAATTGCATCTTTGTGAAAAATTTGGACATTCTATTAATTATATTTTATTTTCACCTAATTATTTTACCATTTGACTTTTACTTTTAACATCATATCTATATAATTTATCAGGCACTCTTCCTTTTTTTAGTAAATAAGTAAAGATAATGTCAAATGAATGTAAAATATTTAGGTTTGCTAAAGAAATTTTACTTTAATAAAAAATAATTTTTTAACAACTATTTTTGACAACAATGGTAACTTATGATTGATTTATTTCAAATATATGGACCAATAAAATAGTAATATGTGGTCTATTATCAAAAAGTTGTTAAAATAAAGTTAACACATGAGAGTCCATTATTAATTTACTATTAAAAAGAAGTTAGAAAAGATAGCCAACCAAATTTTTTTTTTAAATTAATGTTATTTTGAAAGCGAAGTGCCCGACGCGAGGCCCAAAATGGATGGGTTTGGAGTGAGGCCCAACTAGGAAGCCCAACCCGGAGTGTTTGACATTTCACAATTTACATGTATTGTAGGTACTATCTTAACCGATTGGTTCCATTATCCTATTTCAATTTGTGGTGTGCGAGCGAACAAGCTTCTTCAGAGCTGCTACTTCTTCTGCTTCTTCCTCCAAGAAAAGAAGAGGAGATGCACTTTACGTTTGCCTGAATTGCACCCACTCTCTGAGCTTCCATGCCTTTGTTTGGTAACTTTACGTTTCTTTCTAATCTGCACGATTCATAGGATGATTAAGTATTGTTAATTTGGCTTCTGTTGTGTTTTGAGCAGAGATTACGAATGCGCAACTATCCTTCCGTTATTCTCTGACGTTGAAGGCCCCAATGCCGTACCATGCGCCCAGAGGCTCCTGGATTTGCTTGGACAGCCTTAGGAACAGAAAGGATGCTAAGCTGAATGTGATTAAGGCTGTTGCCACCTTCGAACCTAACACTGTCGCTGCAAAACCACACTCCAATCACTTGGATGTAGTTCCTCTAACCCCTCCTTCCTTTGACCTTCAATTTTCCGACCAAGAAACCCAACAACCTCAACCCGATGACAGGGAGCGGTTGAGAAGAATGAGGATATCCAAAGCTAATAAAGGAAATACGCCCTGGAACAAAGGAAGAAAGCACTCTCCTGGTATGCTGTTCTTCCCATCCCCACCCTACTTTCTTTTCTTTTCTTTCATTCTCTTCCAACATTCGTTCCATCTAATTCTCACTTATCTGTGCCACCACCAGAGACTTTACGCAAAATCAAAGAAAGAACAAGGCTCGCGATGCAGAACCCTAAGGTGATGTCATGTAAGAATATTCTTATGTCTTTTTTCAACAACAATTTTCATATTAATTAATAACACAACATCCAATCCATCTTAATTCTCTTCACCTCGAGTGTCTCACTATTTCAAAGCAAAGCTCACAATATCTCACGTTCCTAATTTTTTAACCTCTCTCTGCTTCGCCTAACTGTTTCTTAGAGTCGCATTTTATCATGATTAATAGGAAATTAGGATGTGAAGTGATATTTTGAATATTTGCTCATGTAACATTTGTATATTGATTTCCTTAATAACATTTTGTAATGCAGATCAAAATGAAGCTCAGTAATCTTGGCCACTCACAAACGTAAGCATATGCCTAATGCCTTTCCATTTTTATTGCTGTTACCAGTAAATACTGCTTCTTTTTATTAATATAAATACTGCTTCTCATGTTGGTAAAAATGAATGCTGCTCTGCTTCTTTGTTACTAATAAGTATATGCCTTCTTCGTTGATTGCACAGCACAGAAACAAGACTGAAAATTGGTGCTGGAGTGAGAAGGCGATGGGAAGAGAGGCGTGAAAAGAAGAAGGCAGCGGAGTCTTGCTGCTTTGAGTGGAAAAATTTAATTGCAGAAGCTTCTAGGAAAGGCTTTCTTGGTCAGGAAGAGCTGCAGTGGAATTCTTATGAAACCTTGGATGATCAGCTGAAGCAGGAGTGGTTGATGAGTGTTGACCAAAGGAAACAAATGATAAAGACATCAGGTGGCAAAAGAGCACCCAAGTCCCCTGAGCAGAGAAGGAAAATTGCAGAAGCCATTAGTGCGAAATGGGCTGATCCTGTAAGTCTGTATGCTAAATACATTGAGGTTGGGTAATTAATTGCTTTACTGCCATTAAATATTTCCTAGATCTTTCACCTATCTTACGTGCTAGTTGATTCACACAAAAGTTTTATGTCATGGACACTAATGACACTTATGTCCAGCACTTTTGCCGTATCTAAAAAGTGGACGTTGATATGTATGTGTCTGCTCTATCCTTGATGTGGACTTTGTCATGTTTGAATAACTTGTCACCCCAAATGTGTTAGATAAGTCTACTCAAAATTTTGTACCCTAACAAATAAAGCTTTGTCAAAGTACTCAGGCTTATTTGGGAGGAAATTCTTTTTTACTATTTTTCCCTCTAAAAGAGCAATTTATTTTTCTGTTAAATCAGGAATACCGTCAAAGAGTTTATTCTGCATTGTCCAAGTATCATGGCACTGAAGTTGGAGCTGAAAGGAAAGCTAGAAGAAGGCCAAAAGATGATACCCAACCTACCAAGAAGAAACCTACAAAAAAAAGAGACACTGTTACTAGTACTCATGTTAAGAATGACTCAAAAACCCATAAGCCCATCCTGTTGAAAAAAAGTAAATCCCCAGCCTACAAAGATCCTTTGGTGAATTCTAAGCTTGAAATGATAAAGAATATTAGAGCACAGAGAGCTGCTTCGGAAACCACACAAATTCAAGCCATTGAACGAGCAAGGTAAACCCATTTTCTACTTGCAAGGATCAGTGTAGAATATTATATTATTTCAATAATAAGTAAATAATCCCCCTCCCTCTCCTTAACACACACAAAACCTGTTTTTTTCCTTTGTTTTGAACATTTGGCCTTCTTTTATATGTGGTCATGCTGGATTCGCAAAATATCAAACATAGTCTAATTTTGTTTGGTTTTGGAGATTAGATCATAGAAATACAAGTTTTGGTTTTTTGATCGCTATTGTTCAGTAGTCGTCATGTTTAAATTCATGAAATGATATGTTACGCACAGACTATTGATTGCTGAAGCTGAGAAAGCTGCCAAGGCACTGGAGGTTGCTGCGACAAAGAGTCCTTTTGCACAGTCTTCTTTGATAGAGACCAGAAAGCTTATAGCTGAAGCTATTCAATCACTGGAATCCATTGATACACAAGCTATAACTGACAGTAATGTTCCTTCGGTTGGTTTGAGTGAGGTCAATCAAGAAAAAGAATCAGCATCTGAAGTTCTAAACCAATCAAAATTGGCCCCAGTAAATGGACACACAACATTATCATCAATGGACTACAAGTTCTCTGAAAATTTTAGCAAATTTTCCTTGGAGAAGCCAGTTAATGGTGAACCTGAACTTCTCCTAACCAATGGCTGCGCATCCTTACCTTTTAGTTTGAATGGTCAGATACGCGAGTCTAGTCCATCCAATCAACAAAGGGAAGCTGAACAGGATCAGAGAAGTGAATACGAAACAGAGCCTTCTCCAATAGTGATGGGAATTCAGTCCCTTGAAAATGAGACAGTGTCTAGATCACCTATAGTAGTATCTAAAAGATGGGTTCGCGGAAGGCTCGTTGAAGTGGCTGAAGAGAAACAATAAAATGGGTAAAGCTTAGCTCAGTTTTCAAGCATTAATACAATGCAATGTCACATTGTTTGTTGCATGTTATATAGATCATAAATGCCACAAATATTTTCTGCTTTAATAGTGTGATCATTGCATACTCATCCTTTCACTCTTTGAAATCAAGCAAGAGGTGAGTTCAATCAGCCTCGCAACAGCCAACTACGTGTAGACAGATCGTGGAAGACTAAAATAGCAATCACTAAGGGCACACTTCTATTAGGTCACAGGATACTTCTCTTAATCATGGTACATTAAACTAAGTTAATCATATGATTGTTTTGTTACTTTACAGCGTGTGAGTTGATTCTGTGAGTAATTTGTATTGTAGTTTTGTAGCCATTGCACAGTTGAGCCCAAGCTGTGGCCATTTTCCCTTCGGCAGGAGAATCCATTACACCGGGGATCCCACCCGAATCATTAAGAGTAGAGCAGTGTTTATTAAGGGTCAACCAAATTTTCTTTTATGTTTTCAAATTCGCCGTTCAACTAATGTATGGCAATTGACCAAAACTTCCATAGATTTGCTCCTTTTCGGTGGTACTGTTTTTAAGGCTGTAGTACTATAGTTGAATTTAAGCTATATGATTAGTTTTAAGGAGAAGATAAATATTCGTAACACACTGCATAAGAAGGTTATTCTTTTATAATAAAAAGTTGTTGGAAGATAAAAATGTTCATTTTTAATCGAATATATTTTTTTATTGACTTCAAATTAAAATTCATATAGAATAAAAAAATGAAAAAAAAAACGTCTTAAAAATACTCGTCATATAATTCTAATTTAAAATGATTAAAAGTTTGATACGTATACAAGATTTACGTAATTAATAAAAAAATTAAAGGGGGTGCACTATCGCTTCATAGATTTAGCTATTCAATATACCTAAATTAATCTCTCTTGTATGATGGTGGAAAGGTTACAAATTAATTTGCGTGAGACTTCACATTCTTGTCAATCTGTTTCTTCTGGTTCCTCTTTCTGCAAAACGACAGAGCAGACAGAATAAGATATGAGAATGAAAGAAAAGTATAGTGAAATTAATTTGATTAGGTATAGTGAAAACAAGAGAAACCCGATGTTTAACTTTTCTTTTCAAAAGCTTTCTCCCTCAGTTTTATTAATTTTATTGTTGCGTGATTATTGTGGTAGTTGGGCCTGTTGAAGCAATGGGCTCAGATGGGCCTGGGCGGTAGGACATCGTTTTCGTTCACAAGACAAGACGTTATTTTCTTCCTTCCTTCAACTTCCACCGTAATACTAACACAACAGTCATCCTCCTCCTCCTCCTCCGGTGACCGGTCACCGCCAGGCAGCAATGGAAAGGAATTCATCTTCCGACGAAGCAGACGAGTTCATCCATCGGAAGGAGAGGAATGCGCCTACGTCTCCCTCTTCCTTCCACTTCCAACCCCTCACTTCGCGAATCACTTCCAAGTTCAACTTCCCTTTTCAGAAGAGATACCTCTTCGCCATTCTCCCTCTCTTCGCAATTCTCCTCTACTACGTCATCCCCGATTCCCACTCGCTCTTCTCCCTCTCCTCCGTCAACCTCAATCTCCGCAACCATCAACCCGAGGAATCTCAATTGCGCGCCCTTTACCTCTTGCGCCAACAGCAATTAGGGCTTCTCCACGCTCTCAATTCCACTTCCCAAACTCCCACTCTCAAATCCCTTCTATCCAACCAGATTTTCCTCAACTCACAGATTCAGCAGCTTCTTCTCAGTCCCTACACCCCTGCCACCTCTCTCTATTTTCGGAACGCCTCTTGTGGAACAGTGGATGAGAACCTGCGAGAAAGGAGGACCATCGAGTGGAGGCCCAAGGCTAATAAATTTTTGGTTGCAGTGTGCGTCTCGGGGCAGATGTCTAACCATCTGATGTGCTTGCAGAAGCACATGTTCTTCGCGGCTCTCCTTAACCGGGTCCTGGTTATTCCCAGCTCCAAGGTGGATTATGAGTATGAGAGAGTATTGGATGTGGAGCACATGAATAAATGCATTGGAGGTAAAGTCAAAGCAGTGATCTCCTTCCAAGAGTTTTCTAGCATGAGGAAGAATGGCAAGCACGCGGGTAAATTCTTGTGTTATTTTTCCCTGCCTCGACCCTGTTGTCTGGACGAGGAGCATTTGAGGAAGTTGAAATCGTTGGGGCTTTTGTCTACGAATAGGCCTGCGACTGTGTGGGATGAAGACGCGAGGAAGCCCAGAACGCGGAGCGTGGAAGAGGTTGTGTCAAGGTTTTCACGGGAGGAAAAGGAGGATGTTTTAGCCATTGGGGATGTATTGTATGCAGATGTGGAGGAGGAATGGGTGACGCAAGCAGGTGGCCCCTTGGCTCATCGGTGCAAGACTCTGATTCAACCCAACCGTCTCATTTTCCTCACCGCTCAACGTTTCATCCAAACCTTCCTCGGCAGGAACTTCCTTGCATTGCATTTCCGAAGACACGATTTCTTGAACTTCTGGTACCTACGTCGCCTCGCCTGGCCTCCTTAGTCACCATCTATCATGAAAGCGCAATCAAGTAAATAATTGCGTGCGATATGATTGTGATTGTGATGATACGTTTTGTTTCTTGTTTACAGTAATGGTAAAAAACCAAGTTGCTTTTATCCTATTCCTCAAGCAGCAGATTGTATCTTGCGTGTGGTTGAAAGAGCCAATGCACCCCTCATTTACCTCTCTACAGACGCCGCAGAGAGTGAAATTCGGCTGCTTCAGTCACTGCTTGTGAGAGAAGGCAGGCACGTTCCACTTGTCAAACGCCCACCTCGGAATTCGGCAGAAAAATGGGACTCTTTGTTGTACAGGCATCACATTGAAGGAGACCCTCAGGTCTGAATACAATGCACTATATTTCAATGTCATTCATTACCTTCTTTTTTCCGACCGCTTTTAACATCGGGTCAATATTATTTCTAATTCTATGACTTATCCATTCATCATGCTGCATCTCTTAATTGTTTAGTTTGGATCCTTATGTAATGGGCGGTGTGCGCCTTGTAAATTCCTCTGCTAAATTTCCTTGTGGACATTGTTTTCTTAAGGTGGAAGCTATGTTGGACAAAACTATATGTGCCATGTCCAGTGTGTTCATTGGAGCATCGGGTTCAACTTTCACCCAAGACATTCGACGGCTAAGAAAGGACTGGGGATCCGCATCATTGTGCGATGAGTACCTTTGCCACGGTGAGGAGCCAAATGTTGTAGCGGAGATGGAATGAGAACCACAAATAACTCTGATCTCACTTTCGGGGATACTTCACCTTTGTCCTGCAAACATTTGACTTAGAATAGGATTTTCTTTGTCCTGCAAACATTTGACTTAGAGTAGGATTTTGTCAATATGTGTTGTCATGTATGATAGTAGAGTTGGCCATTTCACTTGTAACTTTCACTGGTTTATATATATTCTACCACAATAAATATAGTGTATGATTAACAGCTTTTACCTGAATTTGTTTCCATGTATAACTCTTTAGCGTACCAAACCCTTCTTCCCTATCCCAAACCCACATCTCGATTCTTTTTGGTGGGAAATGAGAGGAAATAGATAAAGTAATTTGGATGGAAAAAAATGGAAACGAAATAAAATATAAATAAAGGTTTATTGTTGAAAAAAATAAAATAAAAATAATCATAATGGATTGTGTTGGCATCATAATAAATTATGTATTTTCATTTTCGAACATAATCCTCTTAGATAACATTAATATTGTGGATGGTTTTATTTTCAAATGCAATTTTCCTTTTCTAGACAATATAACTAATTATGTTGCATCTTTTCTCATTTTTCTTCTATTTTTGTACGGAAAGTCTTGATTTTCGTTCTTTCCTCTCAAGAGGGAAAAAAAATACATGTCGATATGCCAATTGACGTCTAGTGTATGATAGTTATGAAAAGTGATATGGTGTAAGGGTAATAGGAAAGAAAAATATAAAGAAATAATAGGCGATGATGGAGTTTATCGCATCACTCTTTGGAAATTAATGCTGAAGGTAATCAATCTATCTGTGGATTACGTCCAAGGAACTTTGAACTGGTTTGGTCAGAGCTAAAAGGAAAAGGTCAAAAACATCTCAGTATGTTCATGAATGACATGTTTAGGGATTGTAATCCAAATATAGCCAGAACCTTTGTTTTGATATATAACGAGACTATTGTGAGCGTCAAGCCAACT